TGAGACAACCCGTGACACACACATTGTTCCTGCTGAGACAACCTGTGACACACACATTGTTCCTGCTGAGACAACCTGTGACACACACATTGTTCCTGCTGAGACAACCTGTGACACACACATTGTTCCTGCTGAGACAACCCGTGACACACACATTGTTCCTGCTGAGACAACCTGTGACACACACATTGTTCCTGCTGAGACAACCTGTGACACACACATTGTTCCTGCTGAGACAACCCGTGACACACACATTGTTCCTGCTGAGACAACCTGTGACACACACATTGTTCCTGCTGAGACAACCTGTGACACACACATTGTTCCTGCTGAGACAACCTGTGACACACACATTGTTCCTGCTGAGACAACCTGTGACACACACATTGTTCCTGCTGAGACAACCTGTGACACACACATTGTTCCTGCTGAGACAACCTGTGACACACACATTTTTCCTGCTGAGACAACCCGTGACACACACATTGTTCCTGCTGAGACAACCTGTGACACACACATTGTTCCTGCTGAGACAACCCGTGACACACACATTGTTCTTGCTGAGACAACCTGTGACACACACATTGTTCCTGCTGAGACAACCTGTGACACACACATTGTTCCTGCTGAGACAACCTGTGACACACACATTGTTCCTGCTGAGACAACCTGTGACACACACATTGTTCCTGCTGAGACAACCTGTGACACACACATTGTTCCTGCTGAGACAACCTGTGACACACACATTGTTCCTGCTGAGACAACCTGTGACACACACATTGTTCCTGCTGAGACAACCTGTGACACACACATTGTTCCTGCTGAGACAACCTGTGACACACACATTGTTCCTGCTGAGACAACCTGTGACACACACATTGTTCCTGCTGAGACAACCTGTGACACACACATTGTTCCTGCTGAGACAACCTGTGACACACACATTGTTCCTGCTGAGACAACCCGTGACACACACATTGTTCCTGCTGAGACAACCCGTGACACACTGTTCCTGCTGAGACAACCCGTGACACACACATTGTTCCTGCTGAGACAACCCGTGACACACACATTGTTCCTGCTGAGACAACCCGTGACACACACACTGTTCCTGCTGAGACAACCCGTGACACACACGTCCTCACAGTGTATGTTGAAAAATAGAACGGGAAACTAAAATATTTATTAACTAATTAATACTCTTGTTTCCTCTTATGAGTTTTGTAGACATATTCGGCAGGAATATCGCAATGACGTATTTTGTTGCTCATTAGGGGGATTACCAATAGACTCCTGGCTGTATTCAAAACCGCTGGCTGTCTTCAAGACTCCTGGCTGTCTTCAAGACTCCTGGCTGTCTTCAAGACTCCTGGCTGTCTTCAAGACTACTGGTTGTCTTCAAGACTCCTGGTTGTCTTCAAGACTACTGGTTGTCTTCAAGACTACTGGCTGTCTTCAAGACTACTGGTTGTCTTCAAGACTACTGGCTGTCTTCAAGACTACTGGCTGTCTTCAAGACTACTGGCTGTCTTCAAGACTACTGGCTGTCTTCAAGACTACTGGCTGTCTTCAAGACTACTGGCTGTCTTCAAGACTCCTGGCTGTCTTCAAGACTACTGGCTGTCTTCAAGACTACTGGCTGTCTTCAAGACTACTGGCTGTCTTCAAGACTACTGGCTGTCTTCAAGACTACTGGTTGTCTTCAAGACTACTGGCTGTCTTCAAGACTACTGGCTGTCTTCAAGACTACTGGCTGTCTTCAAGACTACTGGCTGTCTTCAAGACTACTGGCTGTCTTCAAGACTACTGGCTGTCTTCAAGACTCCTGGCTGTCTTCAAGACTACTGGCTGTCTTCAAGACTACTGGCTGTCTTCAAGACTACTGGCTGTCTTCAAGACTACTGGCTGTCTTCAAGACTACTGGTTGTCTTCAAGACTACTGGTTGTCTTCAAGACTACTGGCTGTCTTCAAGACTACTGGTTGTCTTCAAGACTACTGGCTGTCTTCAAGACTACTGGCTGTCTTCAAGACTACTGGTTGTCTTCAAGACTACTGGCTGTCTTCAAGACTCCTGGTTGTCTTCAAGACTCCTGGTTGTCTTCAAGACTACTGGTTGTCTTCAAGACTCCTGGCTGTCTTCAAGACTCCTGGCTGTCTTCAAGACTCCTGGCTGTCTTCAAGACTCCTGGCTGTCTTCAAGACTCCTGGCTGTCTTCAAGACTCCTGGCTGTCTTCAAGACTCCTGGCTGTCTTCAAGACCCCTGGCTGTTTTCAAGACCCCTGGCTGTCTTCAAGACTCCTGGCCGTCTTCAAGACTCCTGGCTGTCTTCAAGACTCCTGGTTGTCTTCAAGACTCCTGCCTGTCTTCAAGACTCCTGGCTGTCTTCAAGACTCCTGGTTGTCTTCAAGACTCCTGGTTGTCTTCAAGACTCCTGGCTGTCTTCAAGACTCCTGGCTGTATTCAAAACCGCTGGCTGTCGTCAAAACTCCTGGCTGTCTTCAAGACTAATGGCTGTCTTCAAGACTCCTGGCTGTCTTCAAGACCCTTGGCTGTCTTCAAGACTCCTGGCTGTCTTCAAGACTCCTGGCTGTCTTCAAGACTCCTGGCTGTCTTCAAGACTCCTGGCTGTCTTCAAGACTCCTGGCTGTCTTCAAGACTCCTGGCTGTCTTCAAGACTCCTGGCTGTCTTCAAGACTCCTGGCTGTCTTCAAGACTCCTGGCTGTCTTCAAGACTCCTGGCTGTCTTCAAGACCCCTGGCTGTTTTCAAGACCCCTGGCTGTCTTCAAGACTCCTGGCCGTCTTCAAGATCCCTGGCTGTCTTCAAGACTCCTGGTTGTCTTCAAGACCCCTGGCTGTCTTCAAGACTCCTGGCTGTCTCCAAGACCCCTGGCTGTCTTCAAGACTCCTGGCTGTCTTCAAGACTCCTGGCTGTCTTCAAGACTCCTGGCTGTCTTCAAGACCCCCGGCTGTCTCCAAGACCCCTGGCTGTCTCCAAGACCCCTGGCTGTCTTCAAGACTCCTGGCTGTCTTCAAGACTCCTGGCTGTCTTCAAGACTCCTGGCTGTCTTCAAGACCCCCGGCTGTCTTCAAGACTCCTGACTGTCTTCAAGACTCCTGGCTGTCTTCAAGACCCCAGGCTGTCTTCAAGACCCCTGGCTGTCTTCAAGACTCATGACTGTCTTCAAGACCCCTGGCTGTCTTCAAAACTCCTGGCTGTCTTCAAGACCCCTGGCTGTCTTCAAGACTCCTGGCTGTCTTCAGTACTCCTGGCTGTCTTCAAGACTCCTGGCTGTCTTCAAGACCCCTGGCTGTCTTCAAGACCCCTGGCTGTCTTCAAGATTCCTGGCTGTCTTCAATATCCCTGGCTGTCTTCAAGACTCCTGGCTGTCTTCAAGACCCCTAGCTGTCTTCAAGACTCCTGGCTGTCTTCAAGACCCCTGGCTGGCCTGATTGATCAGACCCTGATCCACCTCGAGGCCTAATCTCTTTAACAAAAGTGGACAAGCACATAATGGTTTAAAACAAAAATAAAATCACTTCTCGAACACCAGTCTTGGAAAATAGTAAATCAAAGCAATATGAACTTAGCCTAACGTCACTATTTAAAGAATATTTTTAGCACAATATTCAGAAAGTCTGAATGAGAAGCAACGTAGGCACAACCTTGAACATGTATTAATAACAACGACATCATAAGTCCACCAAACAGAATCTAAAATGTTAACTACAGCCCAACACAGTACTGAATATTTACTACCAGTACATGTACAAGGTATACAAGTACATGTACAAGGTATACAAGTACATGTACAAGGTATACAAGTACATGTACAAGGTATACAAGTACATGTACAAGGTATACAAGTACATGTACAAGGTATACAAGTACATGTACAAGGTATACAAGTACATGTACAAGGTATACAAGTACATGTACAAGGTATACAAGTACATGTACAAGACTGACTGTTATTTATTTGTTCACTTGGCACACAACTGCCTGGTGGCTACAGCTCCCGCTTCACACACGGAGGGCCCGGGTTCGATTCCCGGCGGGTGGAAACATTTCGACACGTTTCCTTACACCTGTTGTCCTGTTCACCTAGCAGCAAATAGGTACGTGGGTGTTAGTCGACTGGTGTGGGTCGCATCCTGGGGGACAAGATTAAGGACCCCAATGGAAATAAGTTAGACAGTCCTCGATGACGCACTGACTTTCTTGGGTTATCCTGGGTGGCTAACCCTCCGGGGTTAAAAATCCGAACGAAATCTTATCTTATCTTATCTTATCTTGTCACAGTACAGACACATGTGAGTGAGGATACCAGAGGTTCTCAGAGGCTAATTCAACAACTGACATGGTTACCAGAAGCTAAGTTCATGCTGGACGTAAAGTTCACATGACATAATCTCTGAAAGCTCAAGTACACAGTGATATATAGTGTAAGGAATGTGTGTGAGGTCACATTGTGACCACAAATCCAGGTTAAGCTGGCGTGATGTAGTAGTTAGAACACTGAGTCTCCTAATTTCATGACTGTCTTGCAATGAGTTCGATTCCTGTCCATTCTCCTTATTGTTTACTATCATTTTACTATGGCTTTGCAAGTCATTAACAATGCTTTTGAGAAAACAAGTTAGAGCTTGCCAGAGCCGAGTTAGTGTGTGAGATTCTTCTGTAAAACCTCTCTGGTGTACAGAAATATACTAAATTGTATGAATCTTATTAGACCGACATGGGGTAGTGGTTATAGTAGCTTGCTAAGTTTTGGACTGGCTTGATATGGGTTAGAATCTGTTCATTCTCACTTGCTCTCAGAAACTAGGTGAGAGGAACACTTCGCCTCAGCCAACCCTCGTATCCTACACAACTCTGCAGTCATTTTTTGCGGTATGTAGGTTAAAGTAAAAGGTTGATGTCCACAAAACGCTTACGGTAGGTTTAACAGCTTATATGAATCCTGTCGTACCTGTTCCTAAACATGTGCACTCACCTTATGCTGCCATTTGAAGAGTCTCACAAGAGTGTAAATGATCGATGCCGTGATGACCAAAAAGGTGACCACGTTTGCTTTCTCCCACTCAAGTGTTTCATTCCTCAGCCACGACATGACAACCTCCTGTACACAGAAAACGAACCTAAGTTAGTGTTTAGGTTTGAAGTCTATCGATTGAAGGTAATAATTATGTCTGTGTAAGAACAACGTGTGTACACTTAAACGTTGGGAAATTCAACTTTTATTTCTTTGTCAATTGCACTAGAAAGATTTTTTTTATTAGAGAAACACCCAGACAGGACAAGAGAAAGTCAGGGTAATAAACACCCAGACAGGACAACAGAAAGTCAGGGTAATAAACACTCAGACAGGACAACAGAAAGTCAGGGTAATAAACACTCAGACAGGGCAACAGAAAGTCAGGGTAATAAACACCCAGACAGGACAACAGAAAGTCAGGGTAATAAACACCCAGACAGGACAAGAGAAAGTCAGGGTAACAAACACTCAGACAGGACAACAGAAAGTCAGGGTAACAAACACCCAGACAGGGCAACAGAAAGTCAGGGTAACAAACACCCAGACAGGGCAACAGAAAGTCAGGGTAACAAACACCCAGACAAGGCAACAGAAAGTCAGGGTAACAAACACCCAGACAAGGCAACAGAAAGTCAGGGTAACAAACACCCAGACAAGGCAACAGAAAGTCAGGGTAATAAACACCCAGACAAGGCAACAGAAAGTCAGGGTAACAAACACCCAGACAAGGCAACAGAAAGTCAGGGTAACAAACACCCAGACAAGGCAACAGAAAGGCAGGGTAATAAACACCCAGACAAGGCAACAGAAAGGCAGGGTAATAAACACCCAGACAAGGCAACAGAAAGGCAGGGTAATAAACACCCAGACAAGGCAACAGAAAGGCAGGGTAATAAACACCCAGACAAGGCAACAGAAAGGCAGGGTAATAAACACCCAGACAAGGCAACAGAAAGGCAGGGTAATAAACACCCAGACAAGGCAACAGAAAGGCAGGGTAATAAACACCCAGACAAGGCAACAGAAAGGCAGGGTAATAAACACCCAGACAAGGCAACAGAAAGTCAGGGTAATAAACACCCAGACAAGGCAACAGAAAGTCAGGGTAATAAACACTCAGACAAGGCAACAGAAAGTCAGGGTAACAAACACTCAGACAAGGCAACAGAAAGTCAGGGTAATAAACACTCAGACAGGGCAACAGAAAGTCAGGGTAATAAACACTCAGACAAGGCAACAGAAAGTCAGGGTAATAAACACTCAGACAGGGCAACAGAAAGTCAGGGTAACAAACACTCAGACAAGGCAACAGAAAGTCAGGGTAATAAACACTCAGACAGGGCAACAGAAAGTCAGGGTAATAAACACCCAGACAAGGCAACAGAAAGGCAGGGTAATAAACACTCAGACAGGACAACAGAAAGGCAGGGTAATAAACACCCAGACAAGGCAACAGAAAGGCAGGGTAACAAACACTCAGACAAGGCAACAGAAAGTCAGGGTAATAAACACTCAGACAGGGCAACAGAAAGTCAGGGTAATAAACACCCAGACAAGGCAACAGAAAGGCAGGGTAATAAACACCCAGACAGGACAACAGAAAGGCAGGGTAATAAACACTCAGACAGGACAACAGAAAGGCAGGGTAATAAACACTCAGACAGGACAACAGAAAGGCAGGGTAATAAACACTCAGACAGGACAACAGAAAGGCAGGGTAATAAACACTCAGACAGGACAACAGAAAGTCAGGGTAATAAACACTCAGACAGGACAACAGAAAGGCAGGGTAATAAACACCCAGACAGGACAACAGAAAGTCAGGGTAATAAACACCCAGACAAGGCAACAGAAAGGCAGGGTAATAAACACCCAGACAAGGCAACAGAAAGGCAGGGTAATAAACACCCAGACAGGACAACAGAAAGGCAGGGTAATAAACACTCAGACAGGACAACAGAAAGGCAGGGTAATAAACACTCAGACAGGACAACAGAAAGGCAGGTAATAAACACTCAGACAGGACAACAGAAAGGCAGGGTAATAAACACTCAGACAGGACAACAGAAAGTCAGGGTAATAAACACTCAGACAGGACAACAGAAAGGCAGGGTAATAAACACCCAGACAGGACAACAGAAAGTCAGGGTAATAAACACCCAGACAAGGCAACAGAAAGGCAGGGTAATAAACACCCAGACAAGGCAACAGAAAGGCAGGGTAATAAACACCCAGACAGGACAACAGAAAGGCAGGGTAATAAACACCCAGACAGGACAACAGAAAGTCAGGGTAATAAACACTCAGACAGGACAACAGAAAGGCAGGGTAATAAACACTCAGACAGGACAACAGAAAGGCAGGGTAATAAATACTCAGACAGGACAACAGAAAGGCAGGGTAATAAACACCCAGACAGGACAACAGAAAGTCAGGGTAATAAACACCCAGACAAGGCAACAGAAAGGCAGGGTAATAAACACCCAGACAGGACAACAGAAAGGCAGGGTAATAAACACTCAGACAGGACAACAGAAAGGCAGGGTAATAAACACTCAGACAGGACAACAGAAAGGCAGGGTAATAAACACCCAGACAAGGCAACAGAAAGGCAGGGTAATAAACACTTAGACGACAACAGAAAGGCAGGGTAATAAACACCCAGACAGGACAACAGAAAGGCAGGGTAATAAACACTCAGACAGGACAACAGAAAGGCAGGGTAATAAACACTCAGACAGGACAACAGAAAGGCAGGGTAATAAACACCCAGACAAGGCAACAGAAAGGCAGGGTAATAAACACCCAGACAGGACAACAGAAAGGCAGGGTAATAAACACTCAGACAGGACAACAGAAAGGCAGGGTAATAAACACTCAGACAGGACAACAGAAAGGCAGGGTAATAAACACTCAGACAGGACAACAGAAAGGCAGGGTAATAAACACCCAGACAAGGCAACAGAAAGGCAGGGTAATAAACACCCAGACAGGACAACAGAAAGGCAGGGTAATAAACACTCAGACAGGACAACAGAAAGGCAGGGTAATAAACACTCAGACAGGACAACAGAAAGGCAGGGTAATAAACACCCAGACAGGACAACAGAAAGTCAGGGTAATAAACACTCAGACAGGACAACAGAAAGTCAGGGTAATAAACACTCAGACAGGACAACAGAAAGTCAGGGTAATAAACACCCAGACAGGACAACAGAAAGGCAGGGTAATAAACACCCAGACAGGACAACAGAAAGGCAGGGTAATAAACACTCAGACAGGACAACAGAAAGTCAGGGTAATAAACACTCAGACAGGACAACAGAAAGTCAGGGTAATAAACACTCAGACAGGACAACAGAAAGGCAGGGTAATAAACACCCAGACAGGACAACAGAAAGTCAGGGTAATAAACACTCAGACAGGACAACAGAAAGTCAGGGTAATAAACACTCAGACAGGACAACAGAAAGGCAGGGTAATAAACACCCAGACAGGACAACAGAAAGGCAGGGTAATAAACACCCAGACAGGACAACAGAAAGGCAGGGTAATAAACACTCAGACAGGACAACAGAAAGGCAGGGTAATAAACACCCAGACAGGACAACAGAAAGGCAGGGTAATAAACACCCAGACAGGACAACAGAAAGGCAGGGTAATCAACAAAGAGACAATAGACAGGTTAAAGCCTACCTATCAATGAATCTCATCACAGTTATACAAAGGGGCGTTGCTGCCTTACAAGTTATCACTAAGGTATTTGAGGAGGTAGATCATGGTATTGAATATGATGTGTACATAGACTTCAGAAATCCTTCAATAGAGTTCCACACTGGAGCTTGAGTAAAGTAAACACAGGGAATAGAAGAATTTTTTACTGGACAGAGGCGTGGTTCAGCTCTATATATCATTGGTAAGACCTCATTTACACAGTTCTAGTCACCGTATTATAGAATGAATTTTGATGCACTGAAAAACCTACAGGGAAGGATGACAAAGTTAATCCCATATATCAAAAATCTTTCCTACATGGTCAGACTGAGGGGCCCTGAATCTGCCCTCTATGGAAAGACATAGAATCAGGGCAGATATAAACAGATGGCAAGCAGGAATAAACAAAGGGGATATAAATAACGTGCTAAAAATAATTAACCAAGACAGAACACAGCAATAAGTTCAAGGTTGGAAAAATTTAGATATAAAATATATAGGAAATTAATGATTTTGGTAACAGAGTTGTGGATGACGGGAACAAATTCCCGAGCGGCTTCATTAAAATTAAAACCTTGTGTGGCTGTAATTGTAAGTCAGACAAGTACATAAGTGGGTGTGAGTTGAACTTTCCTAGGACGGGCCAGTAGGCTTCCTACAGTGCTCCTTTTGTCTCATATTCTAATAATTTATTGCTTGATGCAGTAGACATAAGCAACACCTCGTTTTCTTTATTTTACACTCTTCCTCAACCATCAATGATTTTATTAATAAAATACACGAAGAAATACGGAAGTCTGTTGAATATGAAGAATTAATATAATAATACTTTTATTTACAACCAGTACATGTACAAGGTATACAAGTACATGTACAAGGTATACAAGTACATGTACAAGGTATACAAGTACATGTACAAGGTATACAAGTACATGTACAAGGTATACAAGTACATGTACAAGGTATACAAGTACATGTACAAGGTATACAAGTACATGTACAAGGTATACCAGTACATGTACAAGGTATACAAGTACATGTACAAGGTATACAAGTACATGTACAAGGTATACAAGTACATGTACAAGGTATACAAGTACATGTACAAGGTATACCAGTACATGTACAAGGTATACAAGTACATGTACAAGGTATACAAGTACATGTACAAGGTATACAAGTACATGTACAAGGTATACAAGTACATGTACAAGGTATACAAGTACATGTACAAGGTATACAAGTACATGTACAAGGTATACAAGTACATGTACAAGGTATACCAGTACATGTACAAGGTATACAAGTACATGTACAAGGTATACAAGTACATGTACAAGGTATACAAGTACATGTGCAAGGTATACAAG